TTCGCACCACGACTTCTTCGAGCGCTATCACCGCTTTGTCGGATGTACCATGCTAGGACTCTTCTGGACGCAAACCTTCCTCGGCCTCGCCGACTCCGTGACCAACCCCCTCTCCGCAACAACACCACCCACCTACTCCTCGGCGCTCCTCGCCGCCCCAGCCTTCTGGATCCTCCTCGTCGCCACTCTCAGCATCGCCAGCTCCTGGTTCTGGCTGCGGCGGGTGGCTGTCGACGCCGAGGTCCTGTCAGACCACGCGGTGCGGCTGCACTTTGGCTACACGGTGCCCGTCAACGGCACCTTCACTCGCCTGTCCTTCCGCCCGCTGATCGAGTGGCACTCGTTCGCGACGGTGCCCGCGCCGGACCCGGTGCGTGGCCGCCCCGCGGGCTACTCCCTCGTGGTGTCTAACGCGGGGGACTGGACCAAGGCGTGCATCAAGAAGGGCCCGCAGAGGATCTGGGTAAGGGGGGTGCCGACGTGCGGGGTCATGAGGATCGCGACGCTGTTTAAGCGGGTGGTGGTCGTGGCGACGGGGTCGGGGATCGGGCCGTTGTTGGGGCATATTCAGCAGCCGAGCTGTGCGACGGCGTGTTTGTGGAGTACTAAGGATCTGGTCAAGACGTATGGGGAGGAGTTGGTGGATGCCGGTGAAGAGCCAGATTCCGGGCGCGGTGATCTGGGATACTTCGGCTCAAGGACGGGCGGATATGCTCAGCTGAGCTACAACCTGGCGCGCAGCTTCAAGGCCGAGGCGGTATAATCATTGCTAATCGCAAGATCACCACCAAGGTTGTTTATGGGCTGGAGACGCGAGGTGTGCATGCTTATGGGGCCATTTGGGATAGTTAGGGGGGTGTGCTGGCCGGAGAGTTTGCTGGTGGACGGGGTTCTTGAGCCCCTCAGCAAACAAGTGGGCAGGAAGTAACTGAGGGTCGTGAAATGGGCGATCGAGGACGGGATAGGAAGGTAAACTGACTTGTGATAATTTAACTCCGTTTCACCATCGTCCGTACACCGAACGAGATGCAAACGAAGGTAAATGTTGTGACATGGTTGACTATTGCTCCGCGTTCATTCAGGTATCCTACATCCCTAGCTCCCAGGACAATGAGGAACGGGACTATTACGGAATCACCGTGCCACTATCCCTCTAACAATAGCCGAGGCCAAGGCTCAAAGATAAGGTAGCGTTGCGGCGTGCATTCAACGATACGCGGAGGTCACCAGTCACGGTATCACGCTGGTCAATGTATAATATGAGCCCCTCGCGCTTGTATTTGGTAAGAGTCTCGTGTCGGCATGTCTGGAGTCGTGGGGGAGGGAGTGTGGGTTGTGGGGTAAGTCGGAAAAGAGCTACCTACTTGGGGGACCACCCCGTGGCCGAAGGGTGAACCGGGGCGGCGGAGGCCTGTCGCTCGTGCGGTTGAAAATTTACTTCCAAGGGTGTTTCACGAAACCCGCATGGAGAAGATCTACCGTGGGTGCTGGATAGGCATAATGTGTCGGAATATCTACGCCAGAGTTACGTCCTCGCAGGGGGACGTGACGGAGGGCAGGGGGGGATCCACCGCTGGGGCAGTCGTCACGTGATCCTGGATCTCTGGGACGACCAAATAAGCCAAATCGGCGGCTTCTGTACGAGTTAAAGGCAAACCGATTTGATCCGGATGTAGTTAGCGTGCTAAGGCCCTATAGGCCCAGTGCCTCCGGGCGAAATAAATTCCATCCATCCATCCATCGGCGGCTTCGCTTGACTGGCAAGACTGGGTTTGAGACTGCCGGAGCAGATTGCCAAATTTGAGCAGTGGATTGATTGGTTTGACTAATTTGACAAATTGGCGCCGGAGCAAGTTATTCCGGCCCCCCCCGGCTGCCCAACTGAACCACGAATGTAGCACGTCCCTCCAGAGAGAAGGGATTTGCCCTGTGCTTCTAACGCTATCGCGATACCTGGTATTCCCTACATAATGCGTATGAGGGCCAGTTACAACCTACGATGATTGGGCCCCCATACGGCGACAGTAGCGGCAAGGAAAACGAGTTTCGGCGGCAGCGGGAGTAGTTGACATGAGCTCAGTTGTTGTTGGCACAGCATCGTCGTTCACTTCGTTCCCCCTGCTGTTTCCCTCCCCGTCCCCCTTTACTCCCTCCCTGTTCCTTTCGTCTTGGCTCAAGTCTCAAGAGAAAGGCAAGAGATAAATCACATGAGACTTTAACTTCCAACCAGTAAGAATTATTCGACCATGCGGATACCAGTTAGTGATTATTCAATGTGACGTAACGGCACGCGTCCCCCTCTATCCGTGTCTCCTTTAATCCTTCTCGAGGTGCTCTTCCGTATGGGTTTCCATTTGTGGATTCATGTTCTCTCTATTGTGACACGAGCCCTCATGCCGGACTTCTCTATTGGTCCCTCCATGAAAATTGAATAGGGTGAACAAGCCTCGCTGTCTCAACAGTGTGTGCACGTGGCGCCCCATGGATCACTTCGGTGAGGTAGTCACTATTTGCAGTATTGGACATACCATCGCCGTCAACTGATTGGTTTTCATCAATCACTGCCTAGCTGGTATGTATATATTACCATTCGTGGCGCCGGAAACTCATGGACCTTTCCAACTTCCATCACACAACTGCAGACCTAAACTCAGCACTTACTCTACCTTTGGATCTGAAACACCGTGAACAGTTGCAGAGGTTCAGCCCTTGGTGCATCCGCATACCTAACGACAGGACAAGGAATAAACCAAAATGTCAGACATGCTGGCAAAGAAAAAGCAAGAGACAAGGCAGAAAATAGCCGCCCGCCGTGCCAAAGTGCTCGATACCACGAGCCGGGTGTTTTGGAGAAGAGATCAAGAGTGGCTACGAAGACGGATGAACTTGCAACAACAGGCCACCTTTAAGACTTTGTTTGAAAAGAGGGGTTATAACGACCCCAATGTCGGGATTGGTATCGATTTCATCGCCTGGAACATTGACTACGGCCTCTGGGACGGACTCCGACACTCTCCCGAAGATTATGAAGCCCTCCAGCCAATTTTCGAGGAAGCCCCGAGGCCAACAGACACCCCATGGTGTGCCCAATTCCGCGATTATCAACGAAGCCGACTGGGACAGAAAGCCGAGAAGGACCCTCTAAATCAAGCCAACACTGAAACCAAATCCCTGAAGAGAAGGTCCGACGCCGAAGACAACAAGGCCAACGATCTCCACCCTCAACCCAAGAAACTACGACAGCAGGAGCTCAAGTTCACCACCATCGAACCCCAAACCAGCAAGTCCCATCACCACCGGCCCTAACCCCCAAAGCTCAAAGGCAAACAACCCCTTCCCCCTCGACAGCTACCCAGGGCCCTACCCCCACCGCCACCACCGCCACCAACAGACCCCCCCAGCACACGTCCTCTCCCAGTCTCACGCCTTCATCTATCAAGGATTTAATCCCCGTACCACGAGAAAACAGATCGCCGGAGCCGCGAAACATTCTGAGGGGCGGTGTACGGCGGGACATCGCCGGCGCCGCGCCGACGGGGATTTCTTCACCGTCCGGTTGCGGGAGGCAGTGGCGGCCACACGTATCAACCAGAGACCTGGGGCCCATCCGATGCCCTGCTGGACCGGACCTTTCGGGTGGAGGTGCGCTCGCCGGGAGGAGCCGGTGACGGTCGGGGTGGATGGGGAGGGGGCGGGTGCGGGGGTGAAGGAGGGGCCGGTGACGGTGTGGTTGTTGGCGGTGGCGGTGGCGGATCGGGCGGAGGTGACGTCGTTGAGGGGGCTGGGGCACTTGGCTGAGGTGTGGGGGGAAATGTGCGAGTGGCATGGGGCGATGGTGGCGGGTGGGGAGG